CGGTTCCGTATAGGATGCAGGTTCGAATCCTGTCAAAGAACGAATATTTTCTATGAAAATTTCTCGGACATTCAGGCCGGTAAATGTTATTTAATACTGTTTATTATAAACAGAGCATTTACTTAAATACTTGTATCTATAAAAAAGAACGTTAAACATAAAAATGTCTTTAATAAATAAATTGTCGGACTTTGTCCATTTCTTAATATATATATATATATAATCAATACTTCAAACTTTTTGTGACGTACGGTGGGCGTCAATAATTAAATATAACTCGAGTCTTCAATGTTAAGATAAAACAGTATTTAATTACAACCGCAAATAAATACTTAACAAAGAAGTAAAAGTCAAATAAATACTTTCAAAGAAGTAAAACTCAACCAAAGATAATTAACCATTTCAGTGAATGCCTTGCTCAACGTCCCGTAAATCCTAAATCAAAATCATCGACGCACAGTAATTCACTCTAATTCGACTGGATAGTTCCACTCAATGGTCACACAATAATCATTGCAGTCATTAGCCTGACACCGCTATTTATACGCCTAGAGGAAAACATATATTCTTAAGTCCAGAGTGTTACGCGCGTACCTCGGTGCCGGCAGTTACTCATTTTCTTCCTACATGACAGTACCTTCATGAAATGCTAAATAATAAGGATTTCCTTATAGTTGGTTCGCGTATTTCAGTAATTTAGTAAATTTTTATAGATTTATGAATAAAAGAATTGTTTTCATATTTGTTTCTCTATTATAAATTGGTAAATGATAAATATTGCATAGCATTAGTTTTAATTGTATTAGGTTTTAGAATGTTGTGAATAAAAAAAAATATTCTTGAAAATAAACAATTTAAATAAATAGTGTTTAATATTTTTGTTGTAAATTCTCAAGAACAAAAAAAAATTATAAATTCAGTTTTATCATATATTTAGATATTATTCCAATTCTAATAATTGCCTTTTAAAACAATAAACATTATCGAAAAGTGAAGGTCATGGGAAAAAATCCTTTTGACACTGCACCTTGTTGCATGCATGTTTATCCATGTTTGCAAAAAAAAAACTCTATGCAAAAACAACGTTGTTTACGAATTTTCATGTTCTTTGGTAGCGTTGGTCACACAAACAATACAATATCTCATAGGTTAACTTGACAATTTAGCGCAATTTAACGGTATAAATTATTTTTCGCCCGTTGATGTAGGTTATCGAACCATTAATTTTGTGAAGTCCAGTTCGGAAACAAAACACTGAGTTATTATCAGAGGCCATTCCATTTTTTCACTCTTTTGCTAAAGTTTAGCACACCTTTCTTGTTCGTATTCGAAAAATGCCGTTGGCTTAATGGAGCCGAAATAAAAGCTTTTTGTCAGAAATAAAAAGGAAAAAAAAACGTGGGGAATCAAGAAATGCAAGAAGAAATATGTTGAAATTAACGTGTATCGCCGAAGGCAGGTAATTGTCACTTTCTTAAATGGTTTTCGAAAAAGTAAATTATCCCCTGACATTGAAGATCGTCTTGGTACTTTATTGTGCTTCTTGTTGCATTGGGGGATTGCTTGGATCTTATTTTCTATTTTCGAGGTTTTATCATTTAACGAGAAAGAATTTTTTCAGAGTGATGAATTGGACTAAAAAGAGAATCGATTTCATTAAATCTATTTCTTTTATTGTGCTTGAAAGTTGATCCTGTATTTTGGAGGAATCAATTCCATTAATTTGAATGAACCTACGTGAGACAATCGAATTAAACAAGCGTGATCTATCTATCTATCTATCTATCTATCTATCTATCTATCTATCTATCTCAGGATGTTCCTATCTATCTATCTATGTGACGCTTATCGTAGCTATGTATCTATCTACCGCAGGCTATTTGTTTCCATCTTTCTGTCTAATTCTGTTCATTATATATCATTTCCGTCTTGATAATATCTATCTATCTATCTATCTATCTATCTCAGACAACACATCTATCTATCTCTCTCTCTCTTTATATATATATATATATATATATATATATATATATATATATATATATATATATATCAGAGAACATTATCTATCTATCTGTCTATCTATCTCAAGCTGTTCTATCTATCAATCTATGTGACGCTTTTCGTAGCTATGTATCTATCTTTCTCAGGCTATTTGTTTCCATCTTTCTGTCTAATTCTGTTCATTATATATCATTTTCGTCTTGATAATATCTATCTGTTCATATATCTGTCGGATCACATCTATCTATCTATCTATCTATCTATCTATCTATCTATCTATCTATCTATCTATAAAATCAGTCTTTTCATTATCTATCTATCGCGCGATCCCAGACTGTTTACATCTATCTATCTATCTATCTATCTATCTATCTATCTATCTATCTATCTATCTATCTATCTCAAGTTGTTCCTATCTATCAATCTATGTGACGCGTTTCGTAGCTATGTATCTATCTATCTATCGCAGGCTATTTGTTTCCCTCTTTCTGTCTAATTCTGTTCATTATATATAATTTCCGTCTTGATAATATCTATCTATCTATCTATCTATCTATCTATTCCTGCCTTTGCAAAGAAAAACACAAAAAAGAAAGCAAAAAAAGAAAATACATGAAGAAATGACTATAAACTAAAAATGTGTCAGTATTAATTAAAGTTTCCATTTTTTAAACTATTCCTCCATTTTTATCTACTCGACTGTCTCTGTGTGTGTGTGTGTGTGTGCAGCGTCTACTTTAGCATTTCATTCCTAACATTACCCTTTATATTGTATGACGAAAAATACTCCATACAATAGAGGTACAATACATCATTCATGTGTTGTGCAAGGTTTGATCATGCCTTATAAATTCTTCATTGGATTCAGATAAGGCCTTTTTAAAGCGCCATGATCATTTCCTGCATCCCTGCTCCCTCTCCAAATATGTTGAGGATGTTCTGACTTCAGATGCAAGTATAGTCAACTTCGATTATTAAGAATGAGCATCATGATGACCTTGGTCATGCCAAGAGATCTATGTTTGAGCCCACGTAAAAAGTTAGAATTAGCTCGTCGTGGTGGTCTTAACTGTGATGTTTCTACTTCTGTGTTTTGCTTTATTTTCATAAGCTTCCTAATTCATCTCATCATTCACTTCACTTGTCAAAACTAGATCTGTCTCGTAATCTATGTTATAGCCCAATCGTTGCCGGATGGGCTGGATTGAAATTCAAACCGAGCTCTTTCTTTCTATGTGCCGTGTCCTTTCAGGACGTAAGAGATCATGGCTCTCCACCTCTCTCTGTTTCTTGCAGCTCTCAACAAGTTCCTTCCATCTGTCACCTCCCCTAGATCACGTTCTGTCATTGCTTAAGCCGCTGGGTATGCCATGTGTTGTTTTCCGTTGCCTCTCTCTCCCTCGATTAGACCCGTGAGCATCAGATTCTCCAGACACTCATTCATCATTACGTGTCCCTTAAACTTCATCTGCCTCTTCCTGATATTAGTTATAAGCCTCCTACATATTTGCAACCTCTCTAAGACCTCATCGTTGCTCACACGCTAGGTCCATGATATCCTTAGCATCCTTCTGTAAAACCACATCTCCGTCACCTCGAGTATCTTCTTCATCTTTGAGGAAATCGCCCAACATTCGCTGCCGTAAAGGACATATGTCACGTAACAGCTCAGTATTCTTTTCTTTGTTACCAAGGAAATCCACCTGTCTCTCAATACTCTGCCCAGCTTTTGGAATGCGTCCTTGGCCACCCCAAAAACGTCTACAGATCTCAATGTCGCATTTACCGTTCTCTGTCAGAACGCTTCCCAGATATTTAAACTTACGAGTCTGCGTGATTCTAGTGCAAGGCTCGGCAACCTACGGGCCTGCGGGCGGATCCGCCCGCAAAGGCATTTTGACCGGCCCGCAAGCCTGATTACCAATGACTCTATTTTAACATGAGAGACGAGGCTTTCGAATTAGACTATCTGCCAGTTATCTTTCATGAGACTTATTATACCAAGTTGCGTTGCCTACGTTTAATGTCAAATAATGGATACATATTTGTTATGACCCTTGGCTACATTAAAAGATAACAGAAGCGAAAGGAACGATAAAGTGAAAGAGGCCAGGGAGGGACTGACATGCGAGGTAGCAGAAATCTAAAGACAGTTAAACATACGTGCATTATACATACATGCCTCATGAATGTGTGGATGATACCGTATGTGTACGTACGTAAGTGTATATGTTTGTAACTATTTGTACTCGTATGTATGGGTATATGTGCTTCGTTTTTGTTTGATGTGTATGTGTGGTTCGTTTGTGGAACAATTTTCAATAACAGTTTCAAACCTACACGTCATAATTTCATCCATTCACTTCGGTTGATCTTTTTCACTTTGAAGTATTTTGACGTTCCTTGAGGAAAAGTAATTTTTGTTAGGTGTTTTTTTAATTTTAGATTTTCTTTTGTTTTTTCTGATTTCTCAATGTTTATTTTTATTATGGTTTTAAATATTTAGGCTGACAGGGGATCTGCATATGTAATTTTCCCTAATTTTTTATTAATGGCCTTCGTCCGGCCCGCGACCCGTCATTATAACATGATCCGGCCCGCGGGGTCGAATGAGTTGCCGACCCCTGTTCTAGTGTTTGTGACCTTCTACAAGTTAGAATTTAAATTGTTCATGGACGGCTGGCGCATCACGCTCGATTTCGAGTGTTTTTCTTAAGTTTTTGAATGAGCAAGCCGCTTCTTGGTTTCAGCGAGAAAAAGAAAGACAGAAAGAAAGAAAAAATGGAAGCTAGTGTTTATCGTCTGTTTCAATGAAATGGAAAAAGTTATCAATCTTAAATCTTTTCATTTGTACACCCTTGTATTAATAAAAAATTTTTTTTGGCTAGTTGTTGTTGTTGTTATTATTATTATTATTATTAATATTATTATTAATATTTCTTTTTGATTTTTGCCGTATTCTCATTTTTTTAGTAAAATTACCAACAATATATTCTACGATGTACAAAATATATATCTTAAAAAACAGTTTTACTCTGAATGAAAAAGAAAGACAGAAAGAAAGAAAAAATGGAAGATAGTGTTTATCGTCTGTTTCAATGAAATGGAAAAAGTTATCAATCTCAAATCCAATTACGTATAAAATATCTTTAGTTGGAAGCATAAAATTACATACAAAATATTTAGATTTCGGCATTAAATAACCTATACAAGTAATGATATGCCGTTAAACAAACTCAAACTATAACGTCTGACAGACGCTGAACGTGTTTGTGGCCATTCACAACATCCAAATGAAAGTCTTGGTCTGACGAGGCTATTTAAGAACTTGGCTTGGTGTTTTCAGTATAATATTTTAGCTTGAAGTAATTTGCGCTGTTAGGCGAGACTAACCCAAGATTAGTATATTGTGTGTTCAATTTCCTTATGTCCTATACTCAATTTGTTGATATGCCGCTAAACAAAATCACTTTGATATACAAGGATGTATCAAAATCTTTTCTTTTTTTTTCGAAACGTCTCAATTACTCTTATATAATTATAAAATAAAAATTACAAACAATAAATCTTATCATCTACAAACTATATAACTAAAAAAAAAAACATACATTTGGCATGAAAGTAGAAAATTATTTAAAAATACTTGTAGCAGAAGGCATAAAATTGCGTTCTAAATATTAAGATTTCCGTATTAAATAACCCATAGATTTATAGGTTGATATGCCGCTAAACAAAAACAACCTATCAAAATTCAAATATTTAGATTTCGGTATTAAATAACCCATAAAGGTGTTGATATACCGCTAAACAAAAACAACCTATCAAAATTCAAATATTTAGATTTCAGCATTAAATAACCCATAGAGATGTTGATATTCCGCTAAACAAAAACAACCAATCGAAATTCAGATATTTACATTTCTGCATTAAATAACCCATAGAGGTGTTGATATGCCGCTAAACAAAAACAACCAATCAAAATTCAAATATTTACATTTCGGCATTAAATAACCCACAGAGGTGTTGATATGCCGCTAAACAAAAACAACCAATCAAAATTCAACTATTTAGATTTCAGCATGAAATAACCCATAGAGGTGTTGATATGCCGCTAAACAAAAAAAAAACCCATCAAAATACAAATATTTAGATTTCAGAATTAAATAACCCATAGAGGTGTTGATAGGCCGCTAAACAAAAACAACCAATCAAAATTCAAATATTTAGATTTCAGAATCAAATAACCCATAGATTTATAGGTTGATATGCCTCTAAACAAAAGCGACCCAACAACAATATCTATTTATAGTAAAATGACCAACAATACATGTTTAAAAGGAAAACAGCCAAGAATACATTTTATCTGTAGTTGAAGGCATACATTTGCGTTCAAAATATATTTAGTTAAAGTCATAAAATTGTGTCCAAATAATTTAGATTTCGCCATTAAATAACCCATAATCAAACAAAATATACCGTCTGACAGACTCTAAAAGTGTTTGGCGCCATTCACAACATCCAAATGAAAGTCTTGGTCTGACGAGGCTATTTAAGAACTTGGCTCGGTATTTTCAGTATAAAATTTTAGCTTATAGTAATTTGCGCTGTTAGGCGAGACTAACCCAAGATTAGTATATTGTGTTTTCCTTTTCTTTACATCCTATATTCAATGTGTTATAACTCATCCTTACACAGAAGTATTTGAAATGTTTGGTATTTACTAAATCCACATCCTGAATTTTTTTAAAATTCTGGATTCAAGGTACCTTCATTCCAATTCCAAATCAAAGTTTCTGTTATCTTCATTCCTATTTCTTGGAACACTTGTTAAAGGATATTGGTATCATGTGTGGAGCTCAGTTGAGCGAGAGACCAACAAAACTCTTTGTAAGACCAAAGATGAACTAAAAGCAAGGATTATAGCAGCCTTTACCAACTGAACCAAGGTGGAAAAGTTGCAAGAGATTCCGAAGAGATTCTGGAGGCATTGGTTGAAGACAATGGCAATTTTCTTGAATATATTTACTTTTTAGTATTTCAAGATATTTTTGTGTAATTTTGGCAAATATATCTGTTAAAATGAAATGTTAGTATTATTTTCATAGCCCGACTATGAATACCTATCACATTGGCATAGTCTTGAACTGATCAGCTAAAAAATAACTGCTACTACTAATATTACTACTACTATTACTACTATTACTATTGCTACTACTATTACTACTACTATTACTATAATTATTGCTACAACTATTACTAATACTACTGCTATTATTACTATTACCACTACTATTACTACTATTACTACTACTATTACTATTATTGCTACTATTACTATTACAATTACTACTAATATTACTACTATTACTAATACTATTACTACTAATATTACTATTACTATTACTGTACTACTATTACTACTTTACTACTACTATTAATATTACTATAACTACTACTATTACTACTACTACTACTATTACTATTGCTACTACTATT